TACCCGTCGTAACTGAAGCCAGCCACGGGGTCCGAGCCGAGCACAGTTCTGTGGGTGACAGAGCCAGCAGGTGTCGGGATGGCCGAGAGCACAACTTGTCTCCCCCCACCGCACCTGAATCCCCCCCAGCTTCCCCGTGCACACCCCGAGGCTGGGACTCGGCCCTCCGATGTCTCAGAATCACTGTCATGTGGCACGCTGTGCCTGTGCACCTTACTGAAAGTCTGAGACCAGAGGATGACAAGCCCGACCTCGCCAGTGACCCTGACCTGACCCGTGGACGTCACTGTCCCTGTAGAGCTGTAGCCGACTGGGCTTCTCCTCCTCCCCTCCCCCTGCTGCCCTACCTTCCAGGTGTACACCTCTCCATATGCCAAGTACGGGGCCTGGGTAGGTGGCTCCATCCTGTGCTCGCTGTCCACGTTCGAGGACATGTGGGTGACCAGCAAAGAGTATGAAGACATGGGATCCTCTGTCGTCCGCAGAAGAAGCATCTGATACGTAACTATAAGGGGCCCCTCGCCTGTGTCGTCCACCCAAGTCCAGGACAAAGTGGGCCAGAGTGCAGAGCCCGCTCACACACAAGGTCCTTCCTCCCCTGGCTGCCAGTAAACAGGTCACCAAGGGACAGCGTGTCTCCTCCTGATCCCCCTCCCTGCCTCACAGCCGGGACAGCAGCACACGCCCCCGACCTCAGCACCATAAACAGGTGGCCCTCAAGCCGGGGGCTGTGCCTTGGGGTGGCCAGGGCTCCTCCGGCACTGCCCACCCCGGGGGTGTAGGGGCAGAGCAGGGCCTCTGCAGCGTGTCCTGGCCCTCCGCGGGTGTCTGGGTCCATTTAGAAATAATGGAGGTTTACGTGGCTCCTGGTTCTGGAGGCCGGGAGTCCCCGAGTGTGGTGCTGGGGTCTGGCGAGGGCTGGAGCTGCGTCACCACATGGCAGAGGGATCACAGGGAGAGACATTAATGCCATCACGAGGCCCCACCCCAGGACCTCACCTGACCCTGTCACCCCTCCAAGGGCCCCTCTCCACATGCAGGCGGGGCTGCATTTCCACCAGGGGACTTAGGGGCACCCAGCCACCGGCCACAGCTGCACTCCCAGTGGGGCACTCCAGACAGAAGGATACCCAGCACAGCTCTCGGGGCCCCCACACCAGCCCCAGAGGTGCCCCTGCCAGGCCTGGCCCACGCAGGGACAGCACAGGAGCTCTGGTAGCATGGAAGCGCAGTTGCTCTGGTGTCCGGGGCGCAGTGGGAGGGGCGTCGGCCCTGGAGGAGCCGGGTCCTGCGGGATTGCGGTGAGCGGTGTCTCAGAGCTGATTTCAGGGTAAGTGGACTGGGGCTGAGCAGGTAGCTGCTGGATCCAGGGTATTTATCTATTTATTGGGTCCAGGGATTGAACTCAGGGGCACCCGACCACTGAACCCCATCCCCAGCCCTATCTTGTATTTTATTTAGAGACAGGGTCTCCCTGAGTTGCTTAGGGCCTCACTAAGTTGCTGAGGCTGGCTTTGAACCCGCGATCCTCCTGCCTCAGCCTCCGAGCTGCTGGGATGACAGGTGTGCGCCACCTCTCCTGGCTTGGATCAGGGTCATTCAGGTGGAACGGGGAGCTTGAACCTGTAAGTAAATCTGGTAAGAGAGCCGGCGGGAGCAGAGGGACACGGAGAGAGAGGACCACGCACCTCGGAGGAGGAGCCGCCAAGGCCCAAAGCTGCGTCCACACAGGCTGCTGCTCAGCTGGAATGCTCGGGGACCTGGAGTCCCGCTGCCTGGCCCAATGACAGAATGGCCCACCTGACCGCGTCCACCGGGAGCCCAGGGAGACCTGCTCAGACCTCTAGATCCACCTGCTTTGGCCGGAGCTTCTGGTCGGCTGCACAGGCCACTGGTTGGAGGGCCTTTGGCTGCAGACGACCTCTGACCCCGTGACCATGGTAACTGTGTGGAGGTTACTTTCCAGGACCTAGAGGTCGTTTCTGTTGCGACCACTGACTCTTCACTAAGGCCTGCACAGGTGTCCCACGGGGACCTGGCCTTGGGGGGCCGGAACTCCCCCTCGGGTCACATGGCCTCCACCGCTGTCCTGTGCAGAACGCTGACTGCCTCAGGCCACTGCCCACTCCTCTGTCACCTGTCGCTTACCCGGGGACGCCCGACCTGGGGGAGGTGGTCACACTTGGCTCTCCCGGGAACAACCTTCTGTTCTTCCTTGTAACGGCAACTGAGTGCTGGTGGCACAGCCTGC